TAAAAATAGAAGCTTGGGCTTTCTGTTGTTAGTTTATCTTATGTACTTCCCTAAAACTGGCTGATTGCTTGATTTGGGGGTGGGATAGGTGTCCTTCCCTGCAGACCACCACATGCTGTCCATACATCTTCCAGTGTAACACTGCTCATTGTGGGGATGTGTGTGTGTGTGTATACTTTTGAGTAATTCCACAATTCTTGGTTACTGCTGCATAGGTCTTGTCTGTATGTTGATTATTCATCATATCTTATAAAGGCTTTTCCTTTTTCTTATATAACTAAGGCGTTGAAAATATTAGGTTATTAACACACTGAAAAAATGCAATCAATCAGATGATTATCATCTAATGTTTTAATGATCACATTTTTAATCCAATTATGCATGTTTGAATCTTTCAAATTTTCTTTAATTAAAGATTGCCTCCTGGCACTGCTATCAGAAATAAGAAATTGAGCAGAATTGAGCCAGATATAATTTAATGTTGAAAGGAAACTGCCAGGATAACTGAGCTGCGCTAGGCTTAATGGCTGACCATGACTTGAAAGCCCTCAGACAAAATTTTCTAATTGATAAGAAAAATTTAATCATCTTCGGTTATACTCTGTTGGCATTCTAATAGGTATTTCTTTTTCTAAATAAATGTCCCCTAACGGATTATTCATATTGTCGTTCAGAATGCTCAAAAGTGAAAGACAGAGTTGGGTGAAATGTAGACTACTTAATACAGTGTGTGTTTAATATAAAAGTCATTCATTATTCATTTCTGCAATTTGAATAACTTTGAGTTTAGCATCCCTGTTCCTCATCTTTCTCTTTGATGAACAATTAATTATTAAACTATAATATTGTCTACGTACGGCACTGGGATGGCTGAGAGTGGATATGAGATGCATTTCTTTTCCGTTCTCTCATCTGGTGGTGCACAGTGCCTACTCATTGTGGTGTGGAAGGAGTGGTGGTGTAAGCAGAGGGTTTCAAATATTTTTCTCAACTAGTTCAGTGGCTGGGATAGGAATGTTTTGAATTCAAATTACTACTTAGGATAAAAATTGGAGGCAGAAGACTGATCAGGATGGGTTTGAAGTCCAACTGCCCTTTCATAATAAGCACTTATATGCGCTTGTCCCGTGCCTAAGCCTGTAGCTAGTGTTAATTCGTTTAATATTCAGAATCTCCTTATGAAATCGATAGTATTAGAATCCCATTTTACAGATGAGGGTTCAGTCACCGGGGAGGTTCAATAACTTGTCTTAGGTCAGACCTTTATGTAGACGAGTTAGGATTCAAATCTTGGAGGCCTGGTCCTAGCAGTTCTCCCCGTCTTACAGTATCTACGTTTATTAGGATTTTCTTAGTGGAATAGTTTGAGTTTTTAGCTGAAAAGTGAATTCTTCCTTCTTCCCGGTACTGTACTCGGGAACTTCCAGTTTGGGGTCCAGCCAGTTGAGCGCCTCGTGGCTTATGTGAGCTTTGTGGGCAGGGTGCTAGAAATGTAGGGCTACCATTTCTAAAATTATTTCTGACTTAGAATTAAGTATCATGAGCGCCCCACTTGTCAGCGGAGCACTACCGGTGGGACTGAGCAGGAAATGGTATTTTCAGGAAGATCAGTAAAAGCTGATGTTAAATTTCAACTTAAAACTCAAGGAGGAAAGAAAACAATTCAAGAGTTAATTCTGTAATGTATGTTCACAAAAGAGACTGTCATTAGTGACGGAGACACCTGAACATATAGCACACTTCCCCAGTTCTGGTTATGACTGTCAAGGTGACTCTCTAACCTTGGCCCCCAACCCCCAGCATGGCTTAAAATAAGGGAGGTGCCCTAGCTGGGTGGCTCAGTTGGTTGGAGTGTGGTCTTGTGCACAAAAGGGTTTCGGATTTGATCTCTGGTTGAGGTGGGGCGGGGGGCAATCTGTTTCTCTTTCACACATCTCTCTCTCTCTCTCTCTCNTGGCTCAGTTGGTTGGAGTGTGGTCTTGTGCACAAAAGGGTTTCGGATTTGATCTCTGGTTGAGGTGGGGCGGGGGGCAATCTGTTTCTCTTTCACACATCTCTCTCTCTCTCTCTCTCTCTCTCTCATATCAGTGAACATACCCTTAGGTAAGGATAAAAATAATAATAATAAGGGAGATAAAATGTGGCCTGAGGGCCAAATCAATTCTGCTGCCTGTTTTTGTATGGTCCCTAAGCTAAGAATGGTTTTTACATTTGCACCTTAACGAAATGAAATGCTATTTCTCCCCAAAATAATTTCATTCGTATTATAGAGGATCCATATTTAAAAAATTAACCTCAGTGATTTTTAATAATGTTAAATATTATTTAACATTTTAAATAATGTTAATAAGGGAGCCCATACAGGAACTCACTCTCCAGATCCTGTTGAAACAGTTCCTTCTGAAACCTAGTCTCCTGAGACTGGCAGCCCAGGCGTTTCTGCTGTATCTTTTATGTTCTGTGAAGCCCCGGCCTCTTCCCGGAGTGGGTGCTTCCTGTGCGGCTCTGTCTCTGTGTGACATGCAAGGACTGGTGACTTCCTGTCTGCCTGCGGCATTCTTAACTGCAACCCTAATGTTGGGTTGGGCCCCTCTGGGAAAACTAGAGACTTTCTGCTCCTTCAGTCTGGAGCCCTTGATCCTGAGGCAGGTTGTGTGCTGCGCTGTGAGGCCAAGTTCACTTTCAACATGAGGGAGAAATGAAGGTGGTGATTTTCTGGTCTGCGATGTCAGGCCCTACGCACCCTCAGTTGCTTCAGGCCTTGTGTTGACTATTTACACAGCCCAGGAAGTGCAAGCAGATGCCAAAACGTTTCCTCTCTTAGCCAGACCAGTCCCAGCCAGGCACGCTTGCAGAGGTCCCCCATCATTAGGCTGCCGGGAACCAGGCTTAAATTGAAGCCCAGACTTCCCAGTGGGCGCAGGGACAAATCCATTATGTCCAGCCTGTTGTCAGACAGAAACCGCTTTTGTCATTTTGATTATAGAGCCCTATAATTTGAGGACTTTTGCATTTATTGTTAATATTTAATATTTCCTTTTAAAAACCAAATTGAAAACCTATGTAAGAATCAGCCAAGGTTTCTGAGCCGCATGGGTAACTGCAGCTACTTCACTGTTCACTGGTGACCTTGGGCTTTAGTTACTTAACCTCTCCATGCCTTGTTTTCACAGGTGTGAAATTGTGGCATTAAAAGTATGGACTTCATGGGGTCATGAAGTGAGTGTGCGGTGATGGTTTAGAATAATGGAAGTCTGCCCTGGCCGGGTGGCTCAGTTGCTTGGGCGTTGTCTGATATACCGAAAAGTTGCTGGTTCAGTTCCCGGTCAGGGCACATGCCTGGGTTGTGGGCTTAATCCCCAGTGAGGGGCGTGCAGGAGGCACCCGATAGATATTCCTTCTCCCCTCCCCCCCCCAAAATCAATTAAAAACCTTTAAAAAAAAAAAGAAGAAGAAGGGGAACCTGGATTCTGAACTACCTGGTTTTGCATTCTAGCTCTGTAAATTGTTAGTAATAGGACCTACTTCACGGGGCTATTTTAAGTATTAGATAAAATTAGTCTCAGAACCAGACCTGGCACATACAGCAAGTACTGTTTAAATGTTTTCAACATGTAAATACTCAGAATAGAGCCTGGCATATAGTAAATGTAAAGTTTTATTCAACTAGTCTCTACTAAAAGGAAATGCAGTTTTAATTATTCTAATACAGTTGCTTTCTTTTGGAGCCTTTGTGTCATTCCCAGTTCCATAGCTCTTGAGTTTAGGGAAATGCATTTGCCCAATACCTACACTGTTCTGCAAGAAAGAAGAGGGAGGAGCGTGAAGCTTGGGAAGAGTATTCCTGTAGGCACAGGCGTGTCCATGATGTAACCTGGGTCCCCCAGGAATGTGCTCTGGCCCAGGTAGGGTGGAGGCCATTAAGGAGTTCAGGCAAGCCATTAGCAGGATTGTAATAACCTAAAAGGGGTGAGGAAGGAGTCTCAGTCTTGAAGTCAGGTCAGGACTAGACCTTTGGAGGCTTGGGTAGAGATGAGAGCTTTCTCTGATTTTTAGCTGAATGATCTACAGAGGTTAATTGGGAGAACTGTAACACAGAGCCCTAGGCTATGTTGCCCTACTCCTTCCTGCCCCAGGGCCTTTACACATGCTGTTCCCAAGGCCTAAAATGTTCTTCTCCTCTTTTGCCCCTACTGTTCAATATTCATCTAGTTCACTTCAACTCCTTTAGGTGAGTCAGACCGTGCAAGCTTTGGTGTCCAGGTGCCTCTGTTCAGACCCCCACTTGGCCACTTGGAAACTCTGTGCCCTTGGGAAGGTACTAGCCCCTTCTGTACTTTGTTTCCTCATAGAGTTATTGTGACGTATCATCATTGGATCTCAGCTTAAACGCCATTTTTTCTACTCCAGAGAAGACCCCTGCACTTTTGTAAAAGAAAGAAGCCTATTTTCAGGGCTGCCACTTTATAAGTTCAGGGCTGTTCCTTGGTTGGGTTTCACCTTGATCTCCTTAGGCCTTGGCTGAAACCAAAGTGCGATGTGACCAACTTCGGAGCTGCACTCTGCCCTTGATTCACAGTGCTTTTTTCACACCGCTTCTCTCATGGGTGCCCCACTGGTTATTCGTTCTTAAGTATCAGATAGAGAAGGGTTCTCTGGTGAATCAAGATTGTGAGGGTTTGGGTGAAATAAAATCAAGCCCATTGCTTCTCTGCAGGATGCTATGCTGGCGTTATGTCCATTTCCTGGGGAACGAGGGAGGGACTGCAGTGTCGCCCGATGTTTATCCCGGAACCTGTTTTCATGAGATACAGTGCGGTCCTGGCACCTCGGACACACCCTGGGACAGGCCACTGTTTCCTGTGGCTTTCCCACGGCAGGTGCTAGCGCCTCCCAGGGCGCGAGCAGCGTCAGGCGGTGCTGTGGCTCCGCCTGCAGGGGCTGGCCTGTCTGCAGCCTGCCACTCACCACTGTGCTTTCTTTTGCCTCTCCCCCCACAGAGAAGGAGACCTTTCTGGACCCTTTCGTCCTCCGGGACCTCCTGCCTGCGTCCCTGGGCAGCTATTACCGGTACACGGGCTCCCTGACCACCCCGCCGTGTAGCGAAATTGTGGAGTGGATAGTCTTCCGGAAGCCTGTGCCCATCTCTTACCACCAGGTAGATAGCCCCTGGTGGGGCTTCTGTGTGTGTGTGTTTGTGTTGCGTTGTCTTCACTGTCTAACATTGCTCGGCAGGATTTAAAAAATGTTTTTGGATCTTCTGATCCTCATTGATAATTTCATTCTTTCCAACAAACATGTTTTTGAAACTAAGAATTATAAAATATAAAACATGGTTTATCAGCTACAGATTCGTTAAGAGACTAGCAGGCATGAAATCATGGACTGTATAGGTATTTGACCTCCAGGAGCTAACAGCTATCCTCAGTGATGATGGTGTCTTGTGCCAGGGAATCTACGCCCCCGACATGTGTTAACACAGTTCATCCTCATGAACAGCAGTCTCATGAGGCGGCTGTTTGTATCCGCACTTTGTAGAGGAGAGACACAGAAGTGCAGTTACTTGCCTAAGGTCACACAACCTGTTACCAAGCCATGCTGTCTAATCCCTAAGATCATGCTCAGAACCACTAAACCTACCCAACAGTCAGAAAAGAGAGAGATTTATATACATGAAGAAATAAAAGAAAAAAAACCTTGATTGAGCTCCCTCTGTGTCCCAAGCACACCACTAAATACTCTACATATATTCAATTTAATTGCAAAACAACACTGAGAGATGGGTATGACACTGAGATTGGACACATAAGGCCATCGAGGTGTGGAAAGACTGGGTAACATGCCCAGGGATTCATGGTTCATGAATGTTGAAGCCAGAAACCAGGCCCGGGTTTGTCTGATTTCAAAACCCATGTTGCTAACCACTCCACTGAACTGCTTACCTCTGCGTGTGGCCTGGGCAGCTTTCATAAGAAAGGTGCATTTAGGCAGAGCCCATCACTGTGGGTAGGAATTGCTGACATGGACATGGGGTTGGGGGTATCATCAGAGGAAGAGGAGCCACCAGGGGAGTTAGTTAGGGGTCTTGAAATCACCTCATCAGGAATAATAGGTGAAAGAGGAAAGTTCTTACAGGGATTATCTTAGTCGCCAAGAATGCAGCATTCACTGAGGTAGCAGAGCGTAGCTTTTTCTCCGTAACTGCAGGAAGTGGAGCCAGGAACATTGGGTAGGATTTGTAAGAAAGGCAATTTGAGCCCTTAACCTCAGTGTCTAAAAATGGAAGGCTCCTCTCCGGCCTTGCATAGAAGTGCCTCCCCAGAGCTCGACAGCTAGGGGTCGGGATGTAGTACAGGGAACGGGGAGGTTTTGGAATGACGTGATAACACCAGCAGTAGAACTGAAGACACCGGCAACAAGATTATGAAAACAGGCCAGAGGCTTTCCCACCACGAACAGAGGGTGTGGAATCGGTAGCAGGGGAAATAAGGCCGATGGTGTGCTGGTCAGGTCTGTTTAGGATATAAGAAACAGAAACCCACTTAAAGGAGCTCATGCAGGGGCAGTATTTTCAGGAAACAGTAGTGGGACATCTTGAGTTGAAGCCATCGTGACCAGGAATGTAACTGAAAAGTGAGGTATATGCTTCACTCTTTCAGGGGCCACGTGGGCTCTTAAATCTTGGAGTTTCTGCCATGGCTTTGTGATTGTGTACTTTTGCACACAATTCTGGTCCCTTCTCTCCCAGGTTCCTCCCCCCATATGGTTACTATAGTACCTGTTGACCTTTCAACTCAAGGGTTAGCTACCAGCTGACAACAGTCTGGATCTTCTGTCAGATAGTATTCAAGAAGAGATCCAGTAGACATTGGCCAACCAACAAATTGGCTGATCTTGGGTCACGTGCCCAATTTGAATAAATCAGCAGAGTTGCTTCCTGAGACATCAGGGCTGCCCCTCGGGGGTAAATGGAGCAGGTTATTCAGAAGGAACTACTTGCGGGAGAGACACCTTATCTCACTAAGGAAGTTAGGTGATGTGAGGCCTGGCGAAGCAGATTTATTTGGCCTCACTGCTGTTGGCAAACATTTGACATACAGGTTTTTTTCTTTTAATTCAGCTTTTATCAAAAAAAGACTAGTGCCCTGGCTGGTGTGGCTCAGTTGGTTGAGCTCCATCCTGTGCACCAAAAGGTCACTGGTTTGTTTCCTGGCCAGGCCCATGCCCAGGTTTTGGGTTCAGTCCCTGGTTGGGGTGTGTATAGGAGGCAGCCGATGGATGTTTCTCTCTCTCCCCCTATTTCTTGCTTTCTCTCTAAAAATCAATGAAGACATGTTAAAAAAGGAAAAAGGGCTAGCAATTTGGTTTCTGAACAGGTTTGCCCAGCCTCAAGGAGATAGGGAACTATGAAGCGAGTTTTCTTAATAGTAAAGCCAGCATTGTTTTACTCAAATAGAATTACAATCCACACGCTTACATCTTCAGCTTTGGGGGAGGAGCTTTAAAAAGAAATCCTCCTAGTGGATTAAGATAAATGCTTTTGTCTTCAAAAATATAAAGGCTGAAGAATGGGGGGGGGAGGTTAACCAAAGAATTTATATGCATATATGCATAACCCAGGGACACAGACAATTGTGTGGTAAAGGCCTGGGGGAGGTACGCAGGGTAGAGGGGACCAATGAGGAAAAGAAGGGGAACATCTGTAATACTTTCAACAATAAAGATAAATTAAAAATAAATAAATAAAATCCAACCTTTTTGAACTGCAAAAAAAAATTTTTTTTTTTAAAGGCACCAACTTTGAAATCAGGCATCTGATTTTCAAATTCTGGCTCTGCCACATGCTGGCATGTCACTCTGAACAAATTTTTAAGCCTTCATTATCTTCATCTACAAAATGAGGGTGATGATAATTCTCTCTATATAGTTGTTTTCAGTACCAAACGACAGAGTGTGCCACAAAGCATCTGTACAGTGGTGGCTACTGGAACATTAGGGAGAATAACAGAGAGCCCTCTGTGGTGCCACATCAGAGTACTGGGACACAGATTAACCACCTAGAGGTTCACAGATGCTAACCTAACAAGGTTCACTAGTGCTCCACAGATGAAAACAAATGACNTTAAAAAAGTTTACGTTCAAAGGGAAAAAAAGAAATACAAGCCTGACCCTGTGAAGGGCAGAGACAAAGAGTGGTAGTTGTTAAGTTGGGGAGCAGTAAGGACCATTAGCACATACTGGGTTTTACTGCAGTCTCAGGTCCTACATAGGCTTGGATGTCTTTTCAAGTGTTTGTCAGTTAGAAGCATTTTGACATTTGGGCCTTTCTTTGTTAAGATTGGTTTACCCTCAAACTCCCTGCCACCGATACACTCTAAGGAGAAGAAGAAATGATGACGTTTTCTCTTTGACTTTCAATAGATGACTTCTCTGTAGCTGTTAATTATTGCTTTAAGAAAATAGTGAAGAGATAAATTAATCATTCTGGCTTCCTTGTGTCTTTACTATAAACCGTGTTCAGGTAAGCTTTCCTTTTACCAGGGACAGCTTCATATATTCCTGTCTGTCTCCCAAGGGAGGAAGGCAGCTCGTTTCTGTGTGGCCAGACTGGATCCCTGCTGGCTGGCGGCGGGAGGTCACAGCTGTGTCAGCCCCGGTAGGAAGGCCTGAGCCGGCCAAGTAGTGCCGCTCCAGACCTCCCTCCGGCCCTGCCAACATTCTTTCTGAAGTTAGCACAACATGTTCATTTCAGGAAGGCAAGTCGCCAGTTCGGAAGAGCCAAGTAGACAATTCCGTGTCGGCGACTGTCAGAAACAGGACATGTCCAGTCCTTCATCTTTCCTGCTGTCTCCTCCCC